GGCGAGCGAATCGCCGGCGAAAACCGACTCGTCGGAAGCTTGCGTACGTGCGCGTCTCGTGGTTCACGATGATCCACTTCCCTATCGAGTTTCGCGAACACGAACCGTGTTACGTTAGTGATGTGCCAGGGAAAGTTCAACGTTCCTCCAGTTGCCTTGCAAAGTAACCCGAGTCACGTGATTGCCCGCTATTATCGTGGATCAGTTGGCCCGTTGCATGCTGTTGAGTGCGTGCCGCGTCGCGACGAGCGTGGCCAACGCCGCCGTCGGAGCAACGGGATGCCAACCAGGTTATTACCACCCTCACGGTAAGCTTTCTAACAACGATCACGTATGTTTTGCTGCGTGCAACGCTTCCCACTCGATTCCACCTTTATCGTTCGCTGGTCGAGTATTTGGTAAACGTATCGAAACAGTCGTTGCCTGAATGAATTCGATGGCCGATGTCAAGCGCTACTTGGACAGTAAGTTAACGTAACCAAACAGTCTGGGTATTTATCGCGTCCCTCCTTTCTCTCTTCGTGTACCACGACAAACAAATAAAATCGGTCCTTCTATATAGAATACATACGTCCGTCTTGCAATATTTTCGCCTCTTTGCTTACGAAAGATCAAAGTTCTCCTTTGATCAACCAAATCGAACAGACTCGATTATTTAACAGATTCTCGTTGATTCGTCTAACCGAACCGTGCATGCGTAACGTCTAAACAAACATATCGAGTTCTCGCAGGCTGATAGCCGAGAATTTCTTAATTCGACGAGTAACCAGGGATTACCTCGGCTGCTTGTTCCACGACGAACGACCGTCGGCGCGTTCGGTGTCTCTGTTTTGGAGGAGAATTTCGCCGCGGCGGATAAACAAACGCTGCCACCCAAATACTCAATTAGCGGAGTTTTTTCGCGGTCGGAAAACGTGGCGTGCCGGGCTAGAACGGCAACGAGGAAGATCGCAACGCGAGAGGGGAACACGGCGAATTCCTCGTGAAACGGTGCATCGTTGTCGCGGCAGTGGCAGCGAAAGTGGGGATAGCCGGTTATCGATTGGCGGAACGGTCGTATCGCGGTTGGCCACGCCCAATCGGCTG